TCTTTATGATATTTTTAACTGTCGACGGTAGTTAAAACTTTTAACGAATGTATATGCATGCTCGCAACAATAACTGACATTTTCTATACATGTACTACAGTAAATTTTAACACACAAACACTACGATAACTACAACTTTTACCGGGAATGCAACGCCTCCAAGATTAATTATAATTTTTTTTTCACCTTTTTACACCGTGGATTGCATAGGTACCTATACCTAGCGTCAGATTCATCTAAGTATACTGTAAAAAGTCACACATTTGAAAAAAAACATATTAACTGTATTAAAAACACTGTCCAATATAATAATATGCAGCTTCTGAAGTAATTAAATGCCATTTACTTGTAATTAAAATAGTGTCTAACAAGAAGAGTAGCGATTAATCGACGTTCAACCAACATAATAAATCATAATAGTAAACATATTATGATATAAATGTGGTTAAAAACAATTTAGTTAAGTCACATATATACACTATACAGGTATCTAAATAATATAGTAAGCGTAAAATATATATTATATATTGCGTTATTCATTCTAAACTAGAACAACACATAAATATTTTATTATTTTACTCACATACACATATATTGAGCTATTATATATAATATATATTAAATAACCAATATTGGTTAATTAATTATTTACACTAAAGTAGGTTCCTTAAATTATTATAGGAATTTCTCAGATAGAAAGAAAAATAAATAATTCATTAATTGCATATAATATTAAAAGTTTAAATGTACAATGTTTATTAAAACTCTTTTTTTAGCTGGTATCAATAATGCATGATATTCCAATATATTTCTAAATAATAATAATTGTATAATTATCTATCACTGTATATTTTCTTGAATAAAACAGTGTAGATAAAATTATTAACTATTTTTTAAGAAAAAGATCCACAGTATATCTATTTTTTTAAATCAAGTGAACAATATTTTTAATTTTATAAATATAAAAAAAAATAAATAAGTCTGCTACACGAATAAACTAGAATTTTCTAATAATCTAAATTTATGTTCTATTTGAATTTATTTATAATAAATATAGTACAATTCAGTTGTTACAAGTTTTTAAGTTATAAATCAGTGGTACAAATTAATATTTTACAGTTTACTTTTAAAATTGGGCAAGTAGCTAAAGCTGCGGTGTCTTAGTATAGGCTATTTAATTGCATTCAGAATTCAATTATCAATGGAAATTGACTTACCCGTTTATCAATATTTATAAAAGGACTGTATACATATTGTATAAGCGATTTACAACTAAGTTTATTACAATCAGTTCTGAAATTTAGTACATAGGTAATCACTTACCTAAAATTGTGTATTAAAAAAAAAAAATATTAATTTTGCATTTTAAAAAGCGGCTTAGATAGGGATCTGTTAGTTTAAGTAAAACTAATATAATTTTTACTTTTATAAGATTACTTTTGATTTGTTGATTACAGAAAATAAAATAGTTATCATAATATTAAACCTGTATTTTACTTTTAGTTAAAAACATTTAAGTGACTGATATGTTAGGTTTAGGTAAACACCGTGAATTACGTTAACAATATTTTTAATTGTGCAATTATATATTTTATCAACAATTTTTCAACATTTTATTCGAAAACTGTTGAATTATATGACTTTCCTTTTTAAAGTAAAATTTGTATTTAAGCTATTTATTATTGTCAAAAAATGTTTTTTTTTTTAAATTACCTATTCAAATAAACACAAAGCTGACTAAATTTTTAACTGAGAATAAAAAATATAATATTATGTAAAGGTAACAATCAAAATATAAAATATATATGAATTGTGTTTTATTAAAAAAGAAATGTATTGACACTCGTTGAAATTTAAATAAAATGAAAATATAATTTAAAATTATTCAGATGGTTATAATTTTAAAACTCGGCGTTGGTTTCTATCATAGATGCTACTATGGAGAGAGGTATAAGTTGAGTCTTCCCTATAGAACAATCTAACCCCCTTAAAAAACCTTTGTTAAGTATAAAAAAAAATATATTAAGTTAAAAAAAAAAACGAATGTAATTGTTTTTAACACAACCTAAAAAATTATATTTTTATAATTTATATTTTAGTTGTGTTTAGGATTTTATTGCATTTAAGTTATTGCGTTTTATAATTATCAAGTAGTTAAAGCAATAAATAAACATCAAATCTTTGTATTTAAGTATTTTTATTTTACATAAATTTTCCTATCTATTGATACTATAGAATGGTAGTAAGTTATCATCGTTTTTGTGCAATAAAATATACTCCTAGAATATAGATATCGTGTAATCAATATATTATTTTTTTATAAATAAAAAAAGGGTTTTTAAATTTCTTCAAAAACGCTAGTATATGCCATTAATGATGTCGTTATTTCAACAGTTTTACGTAAAAAGTTTATAAATAATGTAATGGTATTGCTTAAATGTGCGTTTGAACCATTAACTTTCGTGATCATTTTTCTTAAAATGACTATTTTCTAACTGTTTATGTTTCAAACTTTTTTAACGTTCGATACTTTTACATAGGATACAATTATTTTCATGAATTTCGTTTACTAAAAAATAACCTCGTACAATATTAGCTTTTTTTTGCGAGTGTCAAGATTAAGAAAATTACTATTCTGCTTTATTTTTGTACGTACTTAAAATGTCTAGAAAATAATATTAATATCTACTATGTACCTACTATTGTTGTATCTTTAACACGTTCAATGCTGCGGTCGACACGCAGTCGTCAAAAAATGTATTGCCTCGGACACCGTTGTCGACACGTAGGCCCGTTTCACATGGTCGCGTATCGTACGCGCGCGTTTTTAATTTGCATTGAATTAGTTCATACGCGAAAACCCGACGAGGAAAACGCACCATCGTCGGAGTGGCGCGTATGAACTAGTTAACTCATTGTAAACTAAAAACGCGCGCCTATGTAAAACGGGCCATAGTCGATAAATTTTTAGTTTTTGACTTTAACGTCTCATCATTTTTGCTGATGTTGTTTGATTGTATTGATGTTTATTTCTGGTTATTTGTGATAACATTACTAATTGAATGGTGTATTTAGTTGTATGTTAGGTTTAAAAATATATTAACTGTTATTTCAATTTTTTCCCGGAATGTAAAGACGGGCTAATTTTATTATTATTAGCGTAATACCAACTTAATAATATTATAGTGTAATAAATTAAATTAAATCTAAAAGTTTTCAATTAAAATATTACTTAGAAATTATAATTAAATATATTTATAATTTCTCCGGGCATCGTCCATTTGCGCCAAATTTATCCAGTAGGTATATTAAATTATAATAAATTAATAATTTTTTTTCTCAAATAATAATCAATAATACAAATTATTTTAAACAATAATAAATAATTAGTTAGTACATATTCTCTAACTTTATTTTCAATATTTTTAGAAGATGTATTGCTAAAAAATATTCATGGTCATTTTCTACAACCATTTTTTACCCTCTTTTGCTTGTCATGAATTCCACTCTCATAATTTATAATAAAAATATTGTTTAGTATAATGTAATTATATTTATCTAAACAATGATATTATTTAGACAAGTAGTGTAGCCGTGTTGGTAACGAAACGAATGTCTGATAAAATCACACTGCAATTTTATTATTGTTCTTTTGACGAATAACGATAACGGAGCATTTACATCGTATAACATAATAAAAACTGATATAAGACTTGTTTTCAATCTTTCTGTGCAAGAATATACAAAACTTTAAAATCTATAGACTTCTAAAAATAATTTTATTATATATTATAGACACCACATCTTTTAAATATACAGATTAACCAATTCGTTAATGTAAAATTCTTATGCAGATAAATTTGGCGCAAACGGGTTGTCGGGAAGAACATACCTTTTTTATTTTGGCGCTAATGGACTGTATTGAAAACGAATCAATGTTTTTTAGAGCAAATGGGTAACTCCCATTTCTCCAATGATATACATGTATCTATGCGTCAACGCATCGACAATATAAAATTTAACTATTAAATAATATATAATTATTATTATTTATAAATTATAAGAAAATATTTGTATAGATTAGGATTAGAGAATGTTAATACAATGTGTTGTAGTCGAATGTATACGTATTTACAAAAATAATAGTAAATCTGAGTACCAGTGGTCGAAGTTGACACGGGCAGAAATTTGTTGCGGCGACACCGTAACAACACGGCAAACGTACCGCGGCATTGAACATATTAAACATATTTTTGATTATTTTGAAAACCAATTTTATTTTATTCAGAAATCTAATATGACGATACTTTAAATAACTTCATTCTTTACTTTATTTAGTAAAATGTTGAATGAGTACCGGAATTCGATAGATATGAATAATGGTTGAAACTTGAATTATTAAAAAATTGTAAGCCATATTCAAATATTTCGACAATGCAAATAAAATAACAATTTTTTTTTTTTTTTGCATAATATATAATAGCAAATACCTATAATATAATGAATATTGGGTCGTATTATCTAAATACAACTAACTTAGGTAATTCAGTTTTTAGCAATTATTTCGATTAAAGTTTATTCAGTGAATTGAAATATTTCATGGTTTTTTGCGACAAAGACGACTTTATAAATCATTGTATAATAAAATTATAAATGTCTAATGTTTACCTTTCTTTATAGTTATATTGTCCACGAAAGTAAACGTACTAATATGAAAATAATACGTAAATAATATAAATCCCGAAAGAATAGTAAACAGTACAGTAATTAAATGTTATAATAGTTTATCACGAATAAAATAATTATAATTAATTTAATTGTGTCAACTATGACAAAAACATAGCCGAACCACAATTAATTAATTTACTTTCGGTCCATGTTTTTTTATTGGTAAAAACAAACGGATGAACGTGTTATGAAATTTGTATTTCTTAATTCTAAATATAACAGCGATAAGTAATTAAATAACAGATAAGTAATATTAATATAATAATGTTTACCTGGTGTGACAAACAGCAATACAAACAGCAGAATGGATGTCCAAAGTTTTCTGGATTTCCACATTGTCTGCAACTCAGCTGCGGCTGGTTGATTCATTTCGGTGACGACTCTTTGGGCAGCTTTAGATCTTTTGAACGTCGACTTGCGGTAATTCTTTACCATACATAAATTAGGTACCGAATCGTATGACGTATTTTCGTGGTCGCAGTGTTCGTAATTGGTGAATTTCACTCAAATATAGTGAATCGGAGTGAATGCGTTAAGGTAATAGTGATATACACGCGCGCGGGTACGACGTTACGGCAATGTTTCTACAGTAGCGACGGGCGTAAGCGATTTGAACATCAAACAGAAATGAAAAAACGTTTAAGAATGAAAAAAAAAAAAAATACGAGGAAAAAAGAAAAAAAAAACGAAGGTGTCGAAAAAAAGTCGCGATCGGGGAGGGAAGCACAGATCGTCTGTACTCGGGGCGATGGAAACGCACGGCGGCGATGGTAAAAATCGGTTTTTTTTATTTTTCTCTCTTTTAAACTTTGAATATTATGTTTACAGTCAATCGCAATCACACTCTACCGAAATGTATACTTATTGTTATTGTTTTTAGTTTTTTTCGATTGTGACACCGTGACGACGTTTTATACCGACAAATCGTCTCTGCCGACGGGGACGTTTTTCATTTTCCAAGACAGATACAGCGCGCGAACCGCAAAAACCAATGTGGTAACAACAACGCTATATGATAATATCGATGGTATATTATTATATTATCGTCGTAGATAACACGTGCGCCTGGTGGAGCGGCGTCGACGGGCAGAAAGCGACCTGATGCAATGTATTACGCGGCAATACTGAAAACAGCGTGTGTACACTGTACAGTGCTCCGAGCGGGGGGCGGCCTGTCACGGAGACGATCCAACGAGTATAGAACGAGTGTGGCCCAACCGACAACGACGGCAGCGGCGGCGGCGGCGGCGACGACGACGACGATCGCGTACGTTAGCTCTCTCTGACGGCCAACGACGCCGCCGCCGCCGCCGCGACGGTGGATGCTGTTCGGAGTTCGGACGACGGTCGCACGCACAGTAGGTACACCACAATAATACCTATTATAATGCGATACCTATGCATTATGTATAATAATATTATAATGTATTATAATGATCCGAAACTGCCGCATTGGGTTAGGAACGAAATTAATTGATTTAGAATTTTTTTTTTTTTTTTCTGAGGCGCACACACGTTATTTGCGGGTAGGTGCAGTATTGGTGTGCCTATGAATATATTATTATTATATACGTAGACACAGTTAAATTTAAACGACCGAGTGTGCGCGCTTACTGTTGAATTTAAAAAAAAGCAATTTAAACTTTGAAGGAAGTTTTTTTTTATTTATGCCTACCTATTATTATTCACTTGTCCCCCGAAAACTATTATTATTCGTGAAAGTATGCAATATCCGAACAAAATTATTTGGCTTCAGTCACTTCCATTGAACGAAGGGCAAATGTAAAACAAACAATATTTAAAATATTCTCTTACAACGAATATCATTACTGTAAATGAATAACTAAACTTCCAATTTAAAATGGACCTACGAAAACGCTAATATAATATCGCATGTCCGTCTTGTGTTTCGGAAATAAACACCTTTATAGGTAGTAGGGAACCCCAACCCGGGGAAAAACGCGAGATGGGCCCCGAGATATTTGATCTCTTAAAAAAAAACACGAGCTGGGTCCATGGTGTTATTCAAAAATACTCGAATTGGGTCCGCGGTATTATTTGATAATACTCGAATTGGGTCCATTGTAACTTGCCAGTAAATGGGTGCCCATTGAGAAGGGCAAGACGGGGCACTTCCCCCCATTGGAAAAATAATATGATCTTATTATAAGTATTACTGTTATAGATATCATCTATAATTAGCTTAAGAGCATACAAATTATTATTTTCTTTATTACTATGAGGATTTGAAATAAAATACACACAAATATAGAGGCGCATATAAATTCCACCAATTGCAACCTTTTTAGACCGTTTTTTATGTAAATTCCACCGGTACAATTTTTTTACCTGATAAAAAAATGGAAATTCAACTAGTACATTTTTTATTTTTATTTAGATATTCGGGATTTACTCATTTACATTTGTAATAAATTAATTAGTATTACAGTATAGGTATGATATAAAATTATCAAACATGCAAAAACAATAAAAAAAATAGTAAGCAACAATAATCATAATAATTTACAATAGGTAATAGGTAAATAATTTATATACAGATTTCTTATTTATATACGAAGGTAATACATTTAAAATTTAGATACTTATATCATTTTTTAAATAAATTTAAAAAATATGTGTAATAATTAATAATGATCACTAGTTAGTAGTTACTTATTTTACCATAGGTCGAGTTAACATGTTTTCAGGTCAAAAAAACTTAGTGGTGGAATTTATATGTTTTAAATTTAACCCAAAAATTGACTACTTATAAATCGGCGGAATTTATAATTGCCTTAGCATATAGTTATACGACTTTTATATTTATTTCTATTAACGACGTATCTTTAATTCTTTGTCACTTAAAACGGGGTCAACAGCTCCCCACGGTGCAATAATATTGGCCTATATCACCCATATTAAAAGTCGAAAGATTAGCCGAAGTTCAATTACCCTTCTTCAACTGGTATAGGATTAACTGCCACGACGGTGCGATATTCGGCTATATCGGAGTCACCAAATTAGACGTAGAACAGTTACCCGTGCGACCTTAGCTAGTACACAGCCTAACCTTGTATCGCATAAGTCCGAACGGTCGCGTTAAAAACCATCGACAATTTAATATAAAATAAAATAAATATAGTGTTTTATAGTGTTAATATTATATAAAAATTAAATTATGGATTTCATGTCAAACGAAAAAGGTATAAAAATTATTATCAAAGATTGCGGATTTAAATTTCACTTTCACAAAATGTTGTGGAATGATGTACAAAGTTGGAAGTGTTATATTAATACATGTAAGTGTTTTTTTTTTTTTTAATTATCGTCCACTTTTGATATATTAGAGAAATGTAACGTTCTTAATCACCAAAAATGTGATAACAAGGTTCTGAATAGACAAAGTTAAATAACTTGCTTAAAAGAAAAGCACTGCAAGATGATATTTCTATATGACCTTCAAAGCTTATCAGATCCGAGTTGAAAACCAGCGATGTACCTTCGATAAACACTAATGATTTGAAATTAATAAGAAATAACATCCATCATGCTCGTAAAGTACTATATCCAAAATTACCTAAAAGCATGCAAGAAACACATAATGGTTTAAGCACAATGAACACAGCTACTAACAAAGACGAACAATTTTTATTCTAGGTATAATTTGGTAGATAATATCATAGGTTTTTTAACTAATTCAACTGAGATGAATTTGAAAGTTTGTGTGATGTTACTAAAGTATACATGGACGGGACGTTTAAAAGATGTACGAAATACTTCTTGCACTTTTTTACAATTCACGGATTACGAAATGGATTGTATGTAGGTACCATTGATTTTTTTGGTATTACCCAACAAAACATTAGAAACCTACACTAAAGCTTTTTAGTATATTGTGAATTATTGCACATCTCTTCAATTGAATTTTCAACCTACCGAAATTTTTATCGATTTTGAGGTGGCAATTCATACTTCTTGCTAAATGCTATTATAAGGGGTTGTAGATTTTACTTAGCGCAAAGTTGGTAGTGAAAAATTCTACAACTTGGATTTTCAAAGGCATATAAAAGTTTCAATAATGATGTAAGTGACTATCTTAAGTGTGTTTTTGGTTTACCATTTTTGAAACTAGAGGTGGTGTTTAATTGTTTTATTGATGATTAAATGACTATCAAACTAGTAAATACAACTGTCGATACATTTTGTGATTATCTTCTAAAAACTTATATAGGTCAAAATGCATTATTTCCATTTAAAATTTAGGCCGATTTTATAGCAATTACAAATTCACAAATTGCACAACAAATAGTTATGTAAGTTATCATGCAAAATTAAATGCTAGTGTCAGTAAAGCTCATCCTAACATTTTTATTTTAATAGAAATTTTACTTTGAATTCGCAGAATAAGCAGAAAAAGAACATTTTTTAAGAGAAAAAAAGATTTCTTTTACTAATGGAGAATTTACACGATTAAATTTTGTAAAAAAAAAATGTCTTTTAAATTATTTCCTGGTTCAGTATTTCTTAACTTAAAAAAAAAAAAATTATTTTTATATATATTTTAATTGTAGGTCGCGACTGGTGCAACCCATAGATTGGGAAACACTGTCCTAGCTTATATTTATTTTAATACAAATATTTATTACTTTATAATATATAATATTTTTATTTTTTCAAATTAATCTAATATATACCTTAACGTAACAAAAAAACAAAATTTTTGGGTGACTTTCTAACCAACCTTCTCGTAGTATCTCCTGGGTAACGCAAATAGGCTAGTCCCAACTCACGTACTCTATAAACTAAACCAGACCAAACTTATGCTGTTTTTGAAATCTGGGACCCAAATTGAGTTTGTCCCGACGCGATTAGGATACTCCCAAAAAATACTCCAGAAAAAATCCCAGATGCAGTAATTAGCATTGCACGTTTTATTCGTATTTATATTAGGGACGCGACCGTTAAGCAGCAAAGTAATCATGTTCTCTATTTATACCTATGATATCTGCATAAGAGTATAAGAGAAAATAATATAGTTATATTATACATAATTACGCGATCACTGGTAATTTTACAAACAAATGAACCAAATCCATATATATTATTAAAAAATTTAAAATGAACAAAATTAAAAACAAAAAACTATGTATAACTAAACAATAAATCATTAAAATCAAACAGAGCGTAAAAACAATAATAATAGTAATAAAAAAAAAATAAAAATAATTTAACTATTTTAATAATAATATATTGTATAAAATGAAAACGTAATACAAATATTACTAAAAGCATTTCAATGAATGTATACTAAACACAGATAATAAAAGGAATTTCACTGATAATAATATGATAAAGATGCTGACATTGCAAGATGTCATAAACGATTTGATAAGGGCGAGTTTGTTTTCAACGTATTTACCAAATGTGACAGTTAGTACCTATTATTTTATACACTTATTATAAATGATATTTACATAACATTTTTATTATTAATAGTGTATTATTGCTTATCGCTAATTACAACTATTGTACGTATATTTTAATGAAGTTATGCAAACAAAGATCTGTTGACGTGCGACGTGCCGAAACATCAATATATGAGTTGGTATTTTTCGTGATGACATTTATTCTAGAGACTTAATTTAGTGGAAGACTTATAAAGTTTAACAGTATTGATACTGTATGACTACGCTACCGTAAAAAATATCATATAGGTTATAGCAGTTACTATGGGTGTCATGAAAAATTGTAATATATTGTAAAAAAAAAAAAAAAATGCGATAGATCACGTCATTGTTTATGTTTATTGAATAAGTGGGCATAAAACTTTCAATATATAGGTAACAGTATATTATATTTATAACTATACCACGCCGGTTACGTTTGGTGTAAAAAGTCAAAAGGTATAGATACAAACTAACATACGAAATTGATTAAATTTGTTTTAAATATTAATTGGATCATTGCTCTAAACTCTGAATCCATTCCTGGAAACCCACCTAGAAGGTTAAAGCGAAATTGGAACCGCGACCTGAAATGAAATAACTCTAACTCCCTAGCCAGTTAGTGTTACCGCTGGGTGATTACTTCGTCATGTCAACCATGCCATTAATGTAAATCCTCAAAAATGCTTATTGTAAAACTTATTTATAGATTGTATGTATTAAAAATAAAAGTTAAAA